GTGACAAAAACAAATAAGTTTCAATATATCTAAATATTTTAGTTTCTTAGGCCATATGAAAAAGCTTAGATACTACTATGCCCACTTCTAAAAGAGCCATTTCTAAAAGAGTCATCTTTGTTTAAGTATATTAAATATAACCATTCAACAAACACATCTAAACACCAACTATACCCTGGTACAAGAAGAGAAAAAACATAGATAATTGCAATCTTACCATCCCAGAAATGAGCTTACTGAACTCTATGGATATCCTGGTGACATAGGGAAGGGGCAATGCCATCCAGCCCCCAACTCTGTCAATCAAGCCATTTGCATCTTTGTGTATGTCATTTGCTTCATAAAGACCTTTTAGAATTTTACCTGCCAGAAACATATACTTTCTAGTAATTTACACAATGGAAAGGAATCCACTGTGTTGTTACTTAGATGATGGGTGACATCAAAAGGACTGTGTATCACTGTTAAATGGCCCCTTCACATTTTACTCTGTCGTGTGGGATTGGGGCTTAGAGTCAGTGTACTGAGATTGGAAAGATATCTCTGCCAATTGCTAAATGTATGACCTCAGGAGTACTCTTTGGTCTCTGTGCTTCACTTCCTACATTTTTTCTACCTAACTTGAGTAGAGAAGCTACAATAACTGCTTCAATAACTGCTTCAAATGTTAGTTGTTTCAGTCATGGCTTCACCAGCATGGTGGACTTATCATCTAACTCCTTCCTACACATACTTCTTTCTCATAAGGAATTTGACTTCTAATAGAGGCTGTTTTTCTTCTTACTGCAGACCTTTTATTGGGGGGGGGGTATAACTAAAGACACATTGTCGTTGGAGACATCAAAGAGCTCCAGTTCTTTGATCTGAAGTTTGTTTGGTTGTTTCTAGAATTTCCTCATAAAAACCATTGCTTTGTCACCGGGTGGTGCCACACACCTGTAATCCCAACTCTTGGGAGGCAGAAATAGAAGCCAGCCTGGTCTTCAGAGAAAGTTCCAGGACAGCCAAGGCTACACAGACAAACTCTGGCTGGAATCATCCCGCCCCTGTCAAAACCCACAGGGTGATGAGGGTTATTTGAATATTAATGCTTTTGCAAATCCTAAGGGAATGCCCATATCATTTGTTGGGGTTACAAGGTTAGAGGTACTTTGAGGTACTGTGAATTTCATTGGCAATTCTTGTCACCAAGATTGTCTCACTCTGTCTTGGTAACTTTAGACTGGAAAAAGTCTTTATGTAGTAATAAAGTACATATGTTTTGTATTACTTCCAAGACAATCAGTTTCCTATTTTGAAGTGTAAATGTTTGTTAAATATCACAGATTAATCTGAAGGGCATGAAACACATTGGCAAAACAAAGAACAATGTAGATGGGGATGCTGCTTCATAAGTCCCACAGTTTTGCAGTCTCCCTCAGAAGCTAATTCAAGCCATTTTCTACAACTCCAAAGTGGAAATGTCAATGCTTATGAAGCTGCTGGCCACTGACTTGTAGGCCTTTAGAATAATCAAAGTGTTTAATAATATCCATGATCACTGGTATGCTGAAAACTTTTCATTAAAAGCTACTTGGCCAGATAAATGCAGTACATTTTGTTTGTTTTTAGTTTTTTGAGACAAGGTCTCACTGTGCTGTGAGGCTGGCCTTGAACTTCTGAATCTTCTGCCTCAGCCTTCAGATAACTGAGATTATAGAGCTGCCATCAGGCCTGGGAGAATTCAATCTTTCTTTAATTCCATAGAATTCCATGTGTATTTCTCTTATATGTTTAAGAATCTGTACAAACTATTTCTGAAAGAATCAAATAACTATTTTTTGTGATATATTAATTGGCCTTGTATATTAAAGTCAAGTTTCACTAACCTTGTATGAGTACGTGGTGATGATAAACTGGTTTTTGAATCCTTTCCCAAAGTCAAATATCTTTTCAAAAGGAAAACTTGTTAATTTTTAATAGTCACATAGAGAGTAGAATGTTTTCAGATAGTTTGTAAGGGTTGGTTCATCCAGTTGTTATATTTTAAATTTTCCTTTTTTGGACCAAGAATGGTCACTAAGAGGTGAGAATTTTTTAGTTCAACTCTGGTTCTCCCGTTTACGAATTATGTAATGCATCTGGCTGTTGAGATTGAGGATAAAAACATTTCTCAATCATGTGGAGAGGACAACATGGGCTTTATGGAGAACACTGAGCATGAAACTATGTGCTCTATATTTTGGGTGGTACCCGGTAATTTGAAGCCCTTAAAACATTATTATATTATATTCAGAAGCTGCTTCATGTTTACATAGGGCCAAATATACTGTCCAGTGATTTTAGTGTCAATATTGCTGCTAATTTATGAAACATTTTACAATAGGATTTATTGAACACAGGCTTTTCCATCCTTCTCAGAGAATGTACCATTTCTCATATTTTGCTTCAGTGGCAAATGTTTTAAAGGTTCTAACCCCAACTTGGAAAGGGACACATGACTGCTTCTTGACCATCTTAATCACACTCTGACTGCTAAAGTCAATGATGCCATAAGCCATCCATATTTACGCCAGTTAAATCAATTATTTTTTATTTTTAATGTACCCCTTTTTTTCAATTGATGCCTAACAGATGTTTTGAGTGTTTCCCCATGTACCCAAAACATAAGTTTAATAAAAATACAAGGGATTCCCAAAAACATATTTCCATGTTGCTTAAGAATGTTTTTGTTTTTTCTGTTTATAAATATAAAGCAATATAGATAGAGAACTCCATTTGGTGATTTGCTTTAATAACTGTTTAGGCTTGTCATCAGATATTATTTAGTAACTGTATTCTCTAAAAGACAATACCCTTGGTAGAATCTCCTATGCAAGTGTCTATGAGTGATGCTCTATTTCCTTCCCAGATCTTTTCTTGAAACCTCAATGTGGTGCTGAAGTTTATGTGAACTCGTTGAAAACAGCAGTTATTATGGCTGCATGTGGTTTGATATCTTGGCCTGATGCCTGATAAGAAAAAGGCCATCAGACTGTCTGAAATTCTGTATTTAAGTAGAAAACAGTTACTTTTTCCTGTTATGAGGGTGAAACTGGGAAACTGGAGTTAAAATTCCAAGCCATGCATCCCTAAATCTGAGTCCTGGGATGCTTCCATCCTATATAAGTGTGGCTGCTTTTATTGTAGACTCTGGAACCTTACTCTGCCACCAACTGAAACCCTCGACCCTGGCTCTGGGGAAAAGGATGGAGAGATTCATTAAGTCAAACAATGAAATGTTAATTAAGTTCTTCTGGAAAATGGGTCTCCTCTGTGAAAATCACTGCCAGACAGGGACAGAAGCTTTGGCTCATTGTGCTTCTTCATTCAGATTCGGATTATGTCCAGTAAATTCTTACCAACCCACAAGATTCAAATGTGTATTCTAATAAGTTGATCCTGATAAAGCGAAAAATGTCTTTAGAAGTGGGGATTAAGAAGTGGACATTGAGACATGTCATCAGATTCTTCTTCTTCTTCTTCTCCTTCTTCTTCTTCTTCTTCTTCTTCTTCTTCTTCTTCTTCTTCTTCTTCATCATCTTCTTCTTCTTCTTATTTCTCTTCTTCCTCTTCCTCCTCTTCCTCCTCTTCCTCCTCCTCCTCCTCCTTCTTCTTATCTATGTGTTCTCAAACAGAAAATCAGGCTATCAAAGAACCTTATCTCAGTAGCTTGTTGGAATGTGCTTATTGAATCAGTGTAAAATATGGTCTCCTTTTTTTCTTTTTAATGCTGCTGGAGATAGAAGCTAGGGTTTCACATAAGCCAGCAAAGTATGATAACACTAAACTGCACTCCCAGCATGACTTAATACAAGGAAACACAACAGTACTTAATACAAGGAAACACAACAGTATTTAAATGGAGTGAGTATTCGGTGTGTTACAGTAGTGGGGCCTAACATCACATAGCATTATTTTTGGAAGGCAGAAAAGGAACTGCTTTATGTATCTGTGAGGCACAGTAGCATTTTGGCATTTCTTTAATTTTGTTTGGTCCCATGAAGCACGTAAGTAAATTCAATTTACTATAAGAGCATCTGTTCTGGGAGTCAGCTCTTGCTAAATTCTGTGAGTGTTTTTATTTAATATTTTTAGATTTGGCAATGCTATGGGTAGAAACCTTGTATTTCCCACATGCTAAGCAAATGACCTACCTCTGAATCAGCTATAGCCCCTTAGTGGATTTAAAGGTGCAGGGCCTTGTTTGTTTTCTATTGAAAGATATAACAGGAATGGATTCAGATGGGAGGGTTGGTAGAGAGGAACTGGGAGGAATAGAGTGAGTGAAAACCACAATCAGTATATATTATTATGACAAAGAAACCTATTTTCAATAGAAGAAAAAAATTCCTATTCAAAAGTCACTTCAAATAAAAGTGTAGAGATTTAAGAGCTAAAACAACAGACCATGTCTAGGGTGTATTAAACAAGACTATACACAGGTACTCAATAAGTAATTTTGACTACATGAAAAATTAAAGTATGGATGGAGTTTTCTTTTGTTAAATTCCAAAAGTTCAATTTCCCAGTAACCCCTAGGCCTGCTTATAGATGCTGAAAACTGGCTCTCTCCCACATCGTTCCTTCTTAGCGTTAAACTGACAATGGATTATGTGGCTAACATTGGACCTTTTGGTTCCAGCACACACATATTCTTGATTGTGATCTTGTATATGCATTAGATTGTCTGACCTATAGTGTGGTTGTTAAAATATAGATATTATTGATATAGTGACACGGAATGTTTATTTAGATGTGATAGTCACTGCTAATGAAATGTATTTTATTCTTTCTAGAAGTATCATGTGGTTTCCTAGATGGAGACTCTCGGCCTCTACAGTGAATTCCTATATATGTACTAGTTGTATTATAATAGAGCTCACACAAATGTGATTTTTCTTGTTGGTCACTAGCATGCAGAGCATGCCTGAAATGTTGCAGAAGATTTGATCATAATACTTTCTTGTATATCTCCCCAGGTATGGCAGCAGCCAAACTCCTGCATGACTCTGGCCTCAGTGTGGTGGTTCTGGAAGCACGAGATCGTGTGGGAGGCAGGACTTACACAATTAGGGTAAGATGCTAAGGATGGGGATGAGAAACTTGGGTCTAAAGATGAGTTGTGTATTTAGATTTTTGTATTTCCTGAAAGTTTTTGCTACTGATTTTCTAAGAGGGAGAAACATTAATTTAGAATTTTCCCTATAGCTTCCCTCTTTTTCTTTATAATCATTATCATTATCATCATTATTTATGAGTGCTAAGGATCATCCATCCAGGAACTTGCATGTGCTAAGCATGTGAGTAGCACTTATAGTTGAAAAATCCCCTTTAATTTATCTCTTTTTCAACTCTTTCTTCTCTTTGTTTTAGTCTTCTCACTTCACATCTAATATAGAACTAAGAATGGGAAGGAGGGAAAATGAGAGGTAGGTTGTATTATAGTAGTAGCAAGAAATCTATCAGAAGTCTGGACTTTCAATCCCTAATTTGGAGGCTTCTCTAGAACTAACACAGTCATTTCAACCATACAAACTAAATTTTGGAATGCATGGGGAGTCTCATTTTTAGTACAGTGTGATACATATACAGTGTGGGTTATTAAATCAAGTTAATTAACTGTTACCTCACTCACTTGACATATTTGTAGTGACATAGCTCAAAACGTACTCCTCCCATCTAGCTGAAACTTATATGCTTTAACTAGAAACTCCTCATTCCTTCTGTCCCTACCAGCTGCACCCATGAAATCTCTAGTACACACCATTGTATTCTTTACTTTTATGAGTTTAACACATTTTAGATTTCACATCAAAGTAACACTTGCCTTTCTCTGATTTATTTCACTTTATATACTGTCATGCAGATACATTTATGTTGTGTGCTAAATGACAGAAATTCCTTCTTTGTAAAATCTGGATAGTATCTCATTGTCTGTGTCTATAGTATATTTTATTTTTTCCACCAGAATAATATTCATTTTAGGGTGGCAAATGACTCTGTTGGGGGAGAGAGGCTAGACAACAAATGATTAAATCAACACAGTCAAGTAAGTCCATTTTTGGTGTCAATGACTTATGAGTTCCTAGTTTGGGATATTGGGCTCTATTCTAAGTGATGAGTCCTGAAGTGGCTCACCTTCTAGTGGTCAATTTTCTTTTAGAGACTGATTTAATAGTTGAGTCACATGAATCAAGTACAGAAGAGTTGAGAGCAGAACTCATTTGTCCACAGATGCAGCTCAAATGTATCCATAACCTGTAAAATATCAATTGCTTATTTCAGAAATGTTTTTTAGAAACAGTCATTTTTACTTTTCTCATGGAAAAACAGAATGAAAATGTTAAATATGTGGACCTAGGAGGATCTTATGTTGGGCCAACCCAAAATCGTATCTTGCGGTTGGCCAAAGAGCTGGGATTGGAAACCTATAAAGTGAATGAAGTTGAACGTCTGATCCACTATGTAAAGGTAAGCCTAAAACAGACATGGAAGACTTGCAGCCACTCTGAGAATGTACTAATTATTACATAAATAAATTGGATGGTGATTTTAAACCTATTTAGGAAAACTGTTGACAAAGTCATACTGCCATTTGGTAAACTATGTTATAAATTCAGTAGAAAAAAATATTTGTGATTAGCTTATTAAATATATCTTACTAAATAAATACCTATGACACTTGAATGTTATGTTAAAAAAGCTGTTTATAGTTTTGCAAAGCTTCCCTAAACTTTATATACAAACACTATTCATAATATGACTCGTGGAGTATTTTGATATTTTTACCATTGTATCATACATGTTGGTTAAAGTGATTCTTCTCTGGATATTAATATAAAAGTGGCTCAATAACCAAATACCACCAGTTTCATGGAATCTCCACCATCCTCCCCGCCCCCATTATTTATCTGAAAATATTGAGTCTTTCTTTCCTAGGATCATTTGTGGTTGATTGTTTCCTCCTCCACACCAATTCTTACCTCTCATGCCTATTGGTCTTTTCTTCTTTTTCTCTGTGCCAACCAAGGTCAACACTTACCTTGTTATCTTAATTTCCTCCATCCATCTGAACATCTGTATGTAGTGCATATTGCTGAGGGTTTGAGGAATGGATCCCTTTTGAAAAGAAGGAACACTGGCAGCTTGAAACTAAAAAAGACAGCATCCTATAACCCATAGAAAAAAGAGCCCAAGGATTTTCCACTGACCACACCTCTCTGTGGATTCCAGTTTTCTCATCACAACTCTTCCTGTGTCACATCTCCCTATTCCCATTTCCCCAGAATCCTCACTTTTTTCCCAAAACCTTTGATAATTTATGCTAAGCAAAGAGTCTTATGTTCTAGGCATCACTGTAGAGTCCCACAGAAGAACTAGTAGAAGGTTTTAGTTGTGGCCATTTTTGTATTTTTGATTTATTTGAGACAGAGTCTAATTGTGTAGCCAAGCCTTGCCTTGGATTCAATCAAGATCCTTCCATTTCTACACGCAGAGAGCTAAGATTACAATTGAGCCACTCTGCCTGCTCTGGTGGAAGTTTTTAAATTTCTTTCATTTCTCTTTTCTTCACTTGTTCTCACTGGTAGAAAGAAGAAATAGAAAACCATTGCCACATTAAAAAAAATCACTCCCTTAGAAAATGGATGGAAGGGAAGCTGAAAGAGTAGCTTGGAAGTACAGTACACGCTAAGCGTGTATGGCACTCTATGTTTGCAAGCACATGCTAAACATTTATGAAGCCCTAGGCATGAGAGCACTAACTAAGCATGTATGAGGCCCTAGACTTGGTCTCCAGGACCATCCAAAATTAAACCAAAACAAAAGAAGGACTATAAACAGTTGTATTTATAAAATAATGTAATGAATGTCCTTATATCTGTGTGAAATGATTAGGAAATGCAAATAGCAGACCATACATTATGAATCATTTAGTAAAATAGATATGAAGCAGCTACTTAATTTGGCACAATGCAGTATAAAATAATTGACATTCAAATTTTATTTTATGTCTTTTTTTTCTATATGAAAAAGAGTCACATGAATAAGAAGTGAAAACACAACATGGTGATAGTATGATTTGCTTAAAAAGGCAGTCCTCAGTAAATTTCCTTTGTTACATTCTTTGCTTATTTAATGTGTTGTCAAAATGACCACTTTAAAAAAAAAAGTCTTCTTGATTCTGCCTGCATGACTTGCAGAAATTGACTCATTGCAGCACCAAGATCTCTTAGATATCTCCAGACAAAGAAGATGGTCAGGGCTTAGATTTGCTGTTTCTTTTGTACATTGCAGGTGCTCCTTGCTTCGGAGCTGTGTCTAGGATGCTTTGTTTAATTCTGGCAATCTTACAGCTTAATTAAGCCTCTTGCTTAAGAAAGAATGTCCCCAGTTATCAACTGCAAACATGACGTTGCCCTTAAATCATTTTTTTTCATAGTGGGTGCCGAATATGCTTCTTTATTAGACTATCCTATTAACCTGTGCTCAACTACAAAAATATAAATAATGAAGCAGTGTCCTTGACTTAATACAGGGTAAATAAGTACACCAATGTACTCTTTACACAATTTAAAGTGACTGTTGTGTGTGTTTTTTATTATTACAGAAGTAAAGCATGCCTGCTGTAAAAATATAATCAGAAACTATGAGTAGAGAAAAACACTTTTCGTATTTACTTATTTATTATTATTTTTCTTATGTTACATATCCATCCCAGTTCCCTCTCCCTCCCTCCCTCACTCACTTCCTCTCTCCCTCCAGGTGGTCTGGGGGCATGGGAGGGAAAGAAAAACACTTTTCAAAAAGAAACCCTCCTTTATCTTTTCTTGAAATTAAAATCACTCTCAAATATTCTATTGCTTCCTAGATTTTCATAGTCTAGGATTGCTGTTGTCTGACCTCTGCTGGAGGAAATGGGAAATACCTGTGAAATGTATATAAAGTTATGTGCATATGCATTAATATGTGTGTTTGGTATACTAACTTAATCTCTAATTTTCACTAGTGAGAGAAAAATTAATCATTAATGATACTGAAGCTCTGCAATATAGATAAGGGGTCACACTGAGCTCTCAGCGGTTATGTCCCGTGAGACCTACATGATGATAAAATAGTTATGGAATCTGCCTCAAACTAAAACGTGTTCCCTATTTAACACCTTCCCTGCTCTTGGCCACGTTATAGTTTTCATATTTTTTACCTCTAAAAAAGTCTCTGAGTGGCACATCTATTTCTGAGATTATTACCAGCACTCAGTCTCCTCCTACATGCCAGATAGTGGTTCAGAACTCTGTGTCTTAGGACTGGAAGATTTTGGGAGCTCAAACATTGGCCTCTATTGCCTACATTAATAATTATTGTCTCCAAGAACAAACTTTAGCTTATGGGAATGTATAGTATTTTTCCCTTATTTTTTCAGTGGACTTGCATGTATTTCTTAACTGGAACACTAAAATTTTCAAATAGCATGCTGTTTGCTGTGTTGTCAGACCCTCTGAGTCAACTTTTCAAAGGAGTATCTTGTTCATTTGTTTTTAAATTTCTTGCATGATTGTTAATGGAAGATTGTTTCATGCACAACTTTAGTAATAAGTTAAAGGGCCTGAGTATGTATTGATAAATGTTTGTGTGTTTCTTAAGCTTACATTGAACCTATAGCCTTAGATATGGTAGATAAGTGTGGCAGTTTCTAATCATATCCCAAGGTGTGATGGCTGATATTAAAAACCATGATATCAAACTACCTAGAAAGAAGGCTGCATTGGCTCAAAATGGGCTGGATATCCACATGAAAAGATACCTTTGCTCAGAAGAGGATGACTCCTACAATCATGAGTTCTGTGGTAGTTATAGAAAAAGTGATCAGCTGATAGATGGATCTCTTGTTGTCTCCATAATAGGCATCCATAAACCCTTGCTGTGATAGACAGGCCTATATACCATCTAGATCCATTCTCTCTAAATTGCGTGTATCTATGGAGCAGCATTCTTTTAGTGTTACTATAGATCTGTTTTATGCTGTTAAAATATGATTTTGCTAAAATTGGCTTTGAGATAAAAGAAGTAGTACCAAAGTTATGAGATTTAATTATCAGTGAGAAAAGTAATCACTTTGGCTCAAATTAATATAATTTATAAGGTGCTTTTACCTACAGTATGTCATAATGAACCCCATTATTGGTACAATTATTATATGCTAACAACAATTAATAAAGTTAAATGAAGCAACCATTCATTCTTAGGAATTATTGTTAAGAATCCAGCCAAGATTCTGATGTTAATTTCTTATGGTATCACTTAGAAGATAGCAATCTAGATGGTTTAGAAATGACCACTTGTCAGGAGGCAGAACCAGTTGGATCTTTGTAAGACCAGCCTGGTCTACAGAGCTAGTTCCAGAACAGGTTCCAAAATAATACAGAGAAACCCTGTCTCAAAAAACTAAAGAAGAAAAAAGAAATGACCACTTGCCTTTAAAAGTATAATTTAAAAGAAAAATATAATAGAACACTATTTAGAGAACCCTGATACCCTATCCTGTATCATTGTATATATGTTTTCACACACATAAATAAGTGATCATTTTGTTGCTTGGTTATTGTTCTTTTGAATTTCTACTTTGAAGATTTTTCAGACATTTCTGAGGCTATCAGTAAACTACAATTCTCTGTTTCAGAAGCTTTCATGTGTATGAGAATAGAAACTAAATTTAAGTTCCCAGGAGACCACTTTAGGACTAAAGGCTCATCTAACACATGATTGGTTGATGCAAAGGTGTAATCTGATTCAACACTAAAAATGGGGCTTCACACTGATACTTGCTTCTAGCCTTCCACTATGGAGAGAACCTGAGCGAAAAAAAACACTTTGGCCTTGACCTGTTTTCCTATTGACAAAGGCAAAGTTCATTGTAAAAGTCCTCTTTATGTTGTTATGGCCAGAAGCCTCAGTTCTGCAGAATTATGTGATTGAGGAGAGTTGTTACCTACTGGATTATCTGATTTTTTTTTACTGTTATAACTGCTGTTGCCTAAACAATCTGTGGGGAGGGAATACTTGGCCCAGCTCCTCAGTCTTGTTGACAACTCTGAAACCCACTTGAAAACCTGGTGCATGGGACTCAACTGACAGACAGCAAAGTGTGGGCCTCCCCCCACTCTAATAATTCCATTTCAATGAACTCCCTTAACTGTCTCTTGGTATTGGAGAATAGAAAGAGAATTACAGTGGAAATATTGAGAAATAAGGTATTCAAATGAGAACTGCATTTAACAAATGAAAATTATCCTGTTATTATTCAAGATGCCAAAGGAGAAAAACAATCAATGAATCTTATCTAGCTGCAATGCCTATAAACCACAGCAATCGCCAGAAGGTGTGATAGTGACTTTTATATTCTAAAGGTAACCAAGAGCTGTCTAATTGGACTTAAGGCTGGATCAATAGGGAGTTAAATACAGATACTTTAA